ATGCTAGTTTTTGCCTATCTTTGGTCAGTAGTTAAATTTACCACCATAGTTCGCCCATTTCCATTCTCACCATTGTTTCATGGGCTCCATGCTTCCCCTCTCGGTTCAATTTTTATTTCTTTGATGAAATACTTGAGCATCACTTTATTAGAGACTGTCATGGTCTGGATATGTGTTTATTTTGTTCTTTTTCCTAAACAACAGTTTAGGGAGCCATTCCTCCACTGTTTTTTGGCACCTGCTGGTGCTGAAGAAAATCTGCTGTAAATCTTATGCTGTCGCTTTGGTCGTTGGGTTGGTTGGTTGGTTGTTCCCCCGAACCCCCATGATAGTTTTAGGATTTTCTTGAGATTTTGCTGTGTCTAGGTGTAAGTTAGTATTTATCCTGCTTGGTGCTCGAGTGTACTTCCAAGTATGAGTGCATTCATACCTTCCTTCAACTGTACGAAAAAAGAACTATTTTAACTCTTCGAATATTGATTCTCCTATATTCTGTCCTTTTTCTCGAAGTGCCTATCAGATATATCTTGGAGCCTCTCATGTATCCTACATACTGATTAATTGATATTTCATTAAAAAAAATAAAACTCTTTGTCCTTTTGTTATTGTTGTTCTTTGGGTGAGTTTCTTAATATTTTAATATTTTCCAGTTTACTAGTTCTTTCCTGGTTGTACCCAGTCTGGAGTTTATCCCATCTATTGAGTTTTTCATTTTCGTGACACTATATTTTTTGTTTCTAAGATTTCTAATTTTTTATATCTATTTTTAAATTTCTGTCCTTTTGTGTAATTGCTTGCTTTTTATTAATAGAAGTTACTTCTTTATCATTTTGATAATATCTTCAACATACGTAAAAAGTCTGTCCTGTTGTTTCGTAAAATTATTTTTACCAGAAGTGAATTCATGTTATGTTATGTGATTTTGTTGGCTCTCTTTTTTGGTGTTATATTTTATTCCTGTGCTTTAGAATTTAAATGTAGGATGAATTTTAATTTTGGGGGGAGTATCTTTTTACCACTTTTGTGTTCACTTCTTTTTTTTTTTTTAAGACTCAGAGTCTCACTCTGTTGCCCAGGCTAGAGTGCAGTGGCGTCATCATAGCTCACTGCAGCCTCAAACTCCTGGGCTCAAGTGATCCTCCTGCCTCAGCCTCCAAGCAGCTGGGACCACAGGCATGTGCCACCACACCTGGCTAATTTTTTTATTTTTTGTAGAGACAGGGTCTCACTATGTTGGCCAGGCTGGTCTCAAACTGCTGGCCTCAAGTGGTCCTGCCACCTCGGCCTCCCAGCATGTGGATTAAAGGCGTGAGTCATCGCACCCGGCCCTTACACTCACTTCTGTTTAATGGCTGTGGCTTCTTCCATCCGGCTTCCCAAGGTCTGGATACAGAATAGTGGTTTCTGTTCTGCGGTGATACCGGGGATATCCGGATCCAGCCACAGAGCTGGGGGATGACTTGATTTACTCTTTGTTTTCCAACCTCCCTGGGCCTGCGGATTGTCACATGTGGTAGCATCAGACAGTGGTTTGCATCTGGATATTTTTGTTTCCAGTCTCATTTTCCTTCCCATCTCCTGGCTTTAAGCAGAGCTTGCGTCCAGGCTCTTGTCATATGCAGCACTTTTAAATCTCTTTTTACCCAACGGACCAGACTTCTGGCTGCCCTGGCCCGTGCGTTCAAGAAGTGCAGCAGGCCTGAGGCTTCAGCCTTGCCCGGCACGTTGCGTTTCTATTCATTTTCAGGATGACAGAAGACGTTTATTCTGTTTTTGAGCATTGTTTATCTTCCCGGTTTTCTTTTTGATATTTAGTCTATCATTGCAGTGTTTTCAGAGCATAGGGAGTGCATCTGAGTTGAATTTATCTAATCATCTTAGCCAGATTAGAAACTTAAGTATTGATGTTTAGCTTCTAACACCTAAAAGAAATAACCCTGTAACCTTGGGATGAGGCTAGGGCCCCTGTAGGAAGGGATCAAGCCTATCATTTTCATCCTTATATCCCAAGCACCTGTAGCAGTACCTTGCAAATAGTAGATGCTCAACAAACAGTATTTGTTGAATGATTGGCATGTCAAATATGGTCAAGTGGCCTAAATAGCTATGCCATGTGTGTGTTTATGTTTACTGTATCAAAACAGCTGAATTTCACCGGGAAATTCAGGAAGAGCAGAAGAATGATCATGGCTCTTACCTGTGACTTCTGTTGGAAGCAATCCCATGTGTTGCCTCTTTCTGAACAAGAAAGGTATAAAATCTCACTACTTTCTGTTCTTGAAAATAGAAACACCCCTTCATCTATTAGACACTTTGCTTTCTGAAAGTGAGAATGTGTTCAGATTAAAGAGGTTTCAGGTGTAACTCTTAATGGTAAAGGGGTTTTCAAATGGATATTTTGAAATTTATTTAAAATAGAGATCCATGTGTGGGTTTCTGTGATTCCAGTAGCTACGGGAAATTACAGGCAACTCTGACACACCATCCGAAAACATAGTGACTTAAAACAAAAATCATTTATTTAGTTTCCAATTCTGTGGGTCAGCGGTTCGGGCTGGTGCACTGGGGGTGTCGGCTGGGATGGCTGATCCCTGCAGGGCTCTGTCACCTGTGCCCTCAGCTGCCGGGGTAGCCGCGGCCTGGTGGTCTGAGACGGCTGAGCTGGGACGGCTGATCTCGGCTCCACGTGTTCTTCCTTCTCCAACCTTCTCTCACTGGAGCCCAGGTTCGTTCACAGAGAGGGGTGAAGTGGACCTCAGGGATCGAGCAAAAGTATCTATGAAGCCTCTTTGAAGCTATAAAGTGTTTATGAAGTACAAACTTGGTGTTCACACCGAGTGGCTTACACTGTTCTATTGGTCAGAGCACATCGCAGCGTGGAAAATAGACTTCCCTTTGCGACGGGAGAGCCGCAGGCCTGTGGCCGTCTTCGCCATCCGCCATGGCAACAAAACGTGGAGGCCCCGCTCCCTCCCCCAGGGGAGCTGGCATCACTCTCATTAGATCCTCACAATATTACCTCTGAAGTTAAGAACCAGTGTTTTAGGGGATTTCACTACTGAATGACAGCAAGAAAAATGCTGAGATGCTCTCATTGACAGACACCTCTGTTTAAAACACTACTTGGTGCGTGGAAATGAGATTCTTGATTTTTTTTCCTCTTGAAAGCTATACCTTATATAATTCTTTCTGACTACGATACCCAGCCTGAAAAGTTAGAATTCTTGTCCAGTGTATCAGTTAGCTGCTAGCGCATAACAAACCAAAATTTAGTGGCTTCAAACAGCACCGTGCACTGGGCTCCTGTTTCCACAGCTCGGCAGAGGCGGCTGGTCTCCCTGGACGCTCTCCAGGTCTGCCATCAGCTGCAGGTCAGCGGGCGGTCCGATTCTGGGGACTGACCGTTTGTCATGAGGGGGGGTGTCTGGGCCACTGGTCTCTCTCCATCCAGCAGGTTAGTCTGGGCTTGTTCGCAGGGTGGCAGCAGGGTTTTAGGAGAGTGTGGGGCAGCATGCAGGGTCTCTCGAGGTCTGGCGAGGCTTGTCCCTGTGGGGTCAAAACAAATCACATGCCCACCCTAGACTCACTGGGTGGGAAGACAGAGTCCAACTCTTGTGAGAAGAACTGCAGAGACGCAGGACAGGGAGGATGGAAAACCCTGGCCCTTTTGTAATCTTCCATGTCTCCTCTCTTCAAGAAATTCCTTCTCATACCTCAAATTCAAAACGCGGGTCTCCACTTACATTGCTCCTGTTAAATGGTGATACAGGGTGTGCTGAGGTGGTGATCACATTCGCGTTTAAAACAACCTGCAATCCCGTCACCTGTTATTGACGGCACCCCCTTTGCTACTGATCTTTCTATTCGTATTAATATTTTAAGGGCATAACTAAATTATGTTGATGTTCTTTTCTAAAGAAAGTGATTTAACATATTTTTTCTTCCAATCCGCCCTCCTTGTTCTTCAGTCCAACCCACTGGTGGCCAGAGTTGCTTTTCTAAAAGGTTTCTCTAGCAGCCTTGTGTTCGGTGAAGAATCTTTGGGGACGTCTCGCTCATACCCTGTATCTTGGCATCTGAGGCTGTGATCTGGCCTCTGCCTACCTGAAGGTTTCGCTTCCCTCCATTCTCCCTTGAGCAGTAATTTTCACAGTGAAACAAAATTTCCTGCTGTTTTTTGAGCACATTTGCCCTACACTGGTTGTTCTCAACTGTCCGATGACAGTTTTGGTTGTCACAACGGGGTGTGTGTGTGTGTGTGTGTGTGTGTACACGTGCTGGTGACACGCAGTGGGCAGAGACCAGGATGCCACTAAACATCCCACAGAGCTCAGGACAGCCCCCACGGCAGCAAACTGTGTGGTCTGAGTATCAGCAGTGCGAGGTTGAGGAAACCTGCCCTACACATTCCGGCTTCGGGGTCTTTGTTTTGTGGGGCTTCGTCCCAGAAGGCCCTTCCTTCGGTGCTTCCTGGTGAAATGTCCCCTGTCCTTAAAAAGCCAGCGCAAATGCCAAGTCTTCTAGGAAAGAGGTCCTGTGTGGCCCTGCTCCCAACGCTGTGGGCTCTGCGTCCATTCCGTGCATCACCGAAGTGTCCACCACTTGGTATGTTTGCAATAATTTATGCATAGTACTATTAATTTTTAATTGTTCGTACTGTTCCTCCCTTGTACTTTAGTTGAGAGTCTGTGTTTTAAGTCTTTTGCTGACCTGTGTGTTCCCGGATGACAAGGATCCTATCCTACCCTTGCTTGTGCTAGAGCACTTACCATGTGCGTTACACATAGTAGGTTCACAATAAATATCTGTCGAGTCAGTGAGAAATGCGTGTCTTCCCACATATATTTACTCCTTCCCACAGTTTTCTTAAAGGACTGAGTTCAAAAAAATCCAACAATTTGAATCCAAGCTTTTTTTGTTTTTGTTTTTAATAATTTAGATCAAAAACCGTTATAAGGAATCATTGTACGATGCAATTACTTATGTTTATTTCTTTGCAGCTATTTAGTGAAAAAATAAGTGGTGCTGAAGGAACGAAACTAGACGACGAGTTTCTGGACATGGAAAGGGTAAGAGCATGTTGGTGCATAAACTGTACTAGAAGTTGACTTTCGTTGTGGTGTGAGATATACTGCTACTCTGAGGGATATTAGTTGGAAGGGAAATCTAGAATGTTGAAATTGGCGTGGATTACGCCATGCGAAAGGCAATACTTCCCCACTTCCCAGCCCACATCAGCCCCTTGCCCGGTCACACATCCAGTCCAGGCAGGGCACGAAGGAGACGGGATGTGGCTCACTCGCGCCCTCCAGTGGCCAGAAGTCAGAATGCGCAAAAGATGGGCAATCTTGGCCACGAGTTACTGCAAGGCCGAAGTAATTGTGGTTATGTTCATGTATCTGGGAGAATCAAAATGTATTTCTGGAATAAGACCCTTCAAATATGCAAAGATTGATGTACTGTGTGGGAGACTCAGACTCTGTTCCCAGGTGTTGCAGCAGCTGCATAACAAATAACTACCATCCTGGTTCTGCCACTTAGAACTAGCCATGCAGACTCGGATAAGTCATTTCCTCTTTTTTAAACTGTGATCCAAGGATGACAACGTGTGCCCTGCCTGCTTCACATAGATGCTGTGATAATTATGAAAACATTAATGTACTTGAAAGAATTTTAAAAAATATGACTGGCTTATACAGAAATGATTGTAACACGCCCCAAAGAAAGACTATAGTCTCTGTCCCTTCACGTGTTTCCTGGTCATCGTGCAGAGAAGCTGAGGTGGGGGCAGGGCTGGGACCAGCAGTAGCTGCCAACTTACTCAGGTTCCTCCCTCTTTGTCTGGGGCCCTTCACACACAGCCTCGTTTTCATAATTAGGCTCCTCAGAGGAGAGGGGGAGGAGAGAAAGCCTTAGGACTGCCTACACGTCAAGGCTGCGGGATAGCAGGGAGCAGAGGTGGGAGCAGGAGCAGGGAAGGAAGTCCAGCCCGGCTGCGGCCTGGCCAAGGGCTCTCTCAGGATGCCTGGCCCCAGCCGGCCTGTCTTCTGGGAGTTCCCTTTTTTCTGGATGAGAGGTGTAAAGTTTCTAGAAATGTCAGTGCCTTGAAGGGGAAAACTTAATTTGCTCTTGATTTTGGAAAAAAGTTCATTTCTAAAAATCAAAAACCATAGAGACATTTTCATATCATTTACATACTCTAAATTACTTTAAAAAAAACTCCTATTAGACAAAGATACGATGCACAGCTTTATTACTAACAGAATGATTCAGTGGAAATGTTAAATTGAGAAGCATATTTCAGGAGTTTCAGTTTGAGTTGATGGCTTGAGATTCCCTCTTGTTCACCTCATTTTCCCTTCAAACATCCCAGTGAGTGACAGAAGAAATATAAATATGAAATTTATTATCTGTTTTATTACAGCAGTGAAAAGTATGGAAATGTATAATACATGACCAGAAGTTTTAAGGAGTCTCTGGAAGAGATACATTAGATGGTAGCAGACCCACCTACAACATAACACAGAAATGACAAAGTAACGGAAAAAATATTACACGATAAATGCTAAACATATAAAAATAGAGCAATAGTAACATCAAAGTAAAATTTGATGTAAAAAAGCACTAAATGGAAAAATTCTTTTTTTAATTATAGAAAGGTAAAGTCAATATAGTCTATCACGAAATTAAAATAATTATGAACCATTTTGTACTACATAACATAGCATCTAAATTTACAGTAATGTGTAGGCTCATGAAGGATTTGCATAAAATATGATTAATATTAATAACTCATATTACAAAGAGATATGGATATTGGCATTCCCCAAATGAAGAATGCACATTCTTTCCAAAAATTCATTTGGAGCAATTACAATAATTAATTATGTACTAGGCTACAGGGAAAAAAACTCAGTAAGTTTCTTAAAGTAAAATCATAGAACACAAAAATTACAAGGAACATATAGCTTCTAAATTCTGAATGTTTGGAAATTTTAAAACATGTAAAAATAATTCTTAGTTTAAAAGGAAATGAAAAAGTAAAATTACAGATTAGTTAGTCATGAGTGTCAGAATTCTATATGTGAAAACCTGTGATAAATGGCTAAATCTTAAATGCATTATGTAGTAGAAAATAAATTTTGGGAGAAATGAAATCATGCAATCCAAGAAGCTAGGAAAGTAAGAACAAATTAAATCACTTTAGGTAGAAGGTAGAAATCAATATAAATAAAAAGAGAGATTAATAAAATGGAAAACAGTAACAATAAGAAGATAGAAACAATAAAGCCAAGAGTTGTTTTTTTTTTCTGGGAAAGCCATAAAATGATAAATTTCTACTAAGTATGACCAAGAAGGAGCGAGGGGAAAAACGCAAATATATTACAAAGAGAATAGGAAATAGGACAAATCCACAGATACGGATTTTTTTTGAAGAGAATACCATAAACAAACCGGGGCTGCTAGCAGCTCTGTAATGCGGGGACTAGGTCCGTGAGCCTCGGTGGCACAGACTTTAGGACACCTTTTGGACAGGGAACCAGCATTAAATGGGAATTGCAAATGTAATCAGCCAAAAAGGAGGCCTCTGCACCAAAATTATTTCACAAAAATAATTTTCACCTCTTTACTTACCTCTATTTGATCAGATATTTGCCTAACACTTTGTTAATTTGAAAACGTGCACACACACACAGACTCACACACACACAATAATATCCCTTGTTATTCTGGGAGGGAGATTTTTGTGTCTTTATTTTTAAACTACAGGAGTTATTTTTTTCAGTGTTCATCTTGACGGCTCGTATTAACCAGAATGTTCAAGGGGCCTCTCGAACCTGTAGAGGGTTTGTTTATCTCTGGCGTCGACGCCCAGCCTGTCCTGAGAGCATCTCCAGTGTGTGCGTGTCAGGGCCTCGAAGGCTCTTGCAAGTTTTTTGGCCACGTGTTTCTTGCCTTTTTTTTTGTTCCCCAAAAGATATAAAAGGATCTAAATTAGAAAATATCCCCTCTCTAATTCCTCTCACCATCACCTTTCAGAGGTGACTCAGCTTCCTGGCGGTTTTTCCTGTCCAGAGAGGGTTGTGACATCAAAGGGAACACTGCGTTGTGTTTTAATCAATATCTAACTTATTAAAGTTGTAAATCTAAAACTAGTTTTTCTTAAGCTTTAAACTGACCTCAACAAGTCTTTTTTACAAATTCATTAATTTTTGCACAAAAACGACAGTCATTTTAGTTAATTTTCATTTTAGGTTCTATTCACTCACAAGCTTAGCAGAGTCAGTCCTTGAATATTTACCGTCAGTTACACAATTAAGCAAATTCCCACAGACATTTCTAACAACAAACTGTGCAAATGAGTCATTTCCTCTTTTTTAAACTGTGATCCAAGGATGACAACGTGTGCCCTGCCTGCTTCACATAGATGCTGTGATAATTATGAAAACATTAATG